GGTCAGGCGTACTCGCAGAGGTGGCCGCAGCCCGCGGCGGGGCGGTCAGGTCAGGCGTACTCGCAGAGGTGGCCGCAGCCCGCGGGGCAGTGGGAGCTGCCCTCCAGCCACTTCATGACGTGCTGCAGGTGTCCCCCGTGACTGCAGCCCTGGCACCACACGAACAGACCCTTCACCACGTGGTGGCAGACGGCGCACGTGCTGGCGGCGCGGTGGCACCTGGGGGCAGCGCGGGGCTCAGCCGGGGCCTCCCAGGTGACCCCGGCCCGCCCCGGCCCCTCACCCCCGCGGCCCCACCTGTCGCAGACCCAGCCCCGGCTGCTCATGGGCCGCTTGCAGTGGCTGCAGTTGACGTGCAGGGTGGTGGAGGCCTGGTTGAGGCAGCTGACTGCCCGGCTGGTGCTCAGCTTCACCACCTGGTTGGACACGTTCCAGAGACAGAAGCGCTGCAGCAGGTCGATGTAGGAGGTGTACCAGTGTTCCTAGGGACAGGGCGGAGGGGTCCAGAGGTTAGGGCTGCCAGCTCAGGGTGAGGGTCGGGGCCTGCTCCCACCCGGGCGTACCTGAGTCTGCTCATCGATGTCCTTCCGCACCCTCTCGCCCAGCACGATGAGGACAGACACAGCCATCTGCACGTCACCCTGCTCCGCATAGAAGCGCAGCATGTCGCACACCAGCACGCTGAAGAAGTCTGCTGGCAGACGGCTGTCGTAGAGCGTGTGTGAGATGGAGAGGAGGGAGAAGGAGGAGTCTGCGGGAGCCAGGGAGGCCACATCTGCCTCACTGCCACTCACGTGTGGGGAGTCAGCCTTTTCCTGCAGGTGCTCAGGCCCCGACGGTGTGTCCACAATCTCGTGACGCAGTGGGAAGGCCTCCTGTGGTAGCACGTACTCTGGCTCTTCAGCTGAGGGTGAGGGGCCAGCAGAGGCGGACCTGAGTAAAGGGCACCCACCACCCGTTCCCAATGCATGCGGAGCTTCAGCCTCAACCTCTGGGCCGCTTGGGGCTCCACTTACGGTGCACGTGTTCTGGGTCCAGGGGATACAGCTCTTCCTCCTCTCCCTCCACATCGCCCAGTAGGTAGTCGGCAGGTACGTCGCTCCCCTCAGTCTCCTCATTATCTGTCCAGTGGGGAAGGAGGGCACTTGAGCATGGCTCACACTAGACCTACTCCTGTCAGAATCCCTGCCCACCCTCCGTCTCACCTTCATTGGTGATGAGGGTGGCCGAGGAGTCCAGCAGAACCGTGTCACTGCGTGTGTCCCCTTTGCTTCGGTCCAGCCGTGTCTCACTGCCCAGCCCTGAGGCCATATCCTTCAGGTTGAAACTGAGGGCAGGAAAGGCTCATTGACGGGTGGCCTCCAGCAGCCCACCTCTGGGGCGTGCCGACCCAAGGCATCTACCTGTTCATGAGGGGCAAGCCACAGGAACTGCCTTTGCCCACACTGTGGTTGAGGTTGGCAGAGGGCACCAGACCAGGACTACAGTAGATGATCCGCAGCATGGTCCATGTCTGCGCCACCTAGGGGCAGGCACCCCAGTCAGAATCACATGGCAACTTTCAGTACCTCTGGGGACCCAATGTCCTAACCCAACCCCCTGGGTAAACTGCAGCCTGTGAGAGAGACCAAAGTTCCAGCTTCCATCCAGGAATGGTGCACAAAAAACTACACTGGGAGGCAGCTGATGGCAGAGAGATGCAGAAGGCAAGTTCAAAGCCAAGAGTGAGGCAGGAGCGCCGGCCCGCTCTGAGGGTGGCCCCGGGGCGTGGCCAGCCCTGGCCCGCAGAATCTTCACAGCCTGCCACTGGGGCAAAGGGTTGGTAGTTTTTTCTTTTTTCTTCTGTCGGTCATGGGGCTTGAACTCTGGGCTTGGGCGCTGTCCCTCAGCATTTCAGCTCAAGGCAAGCGCTCTATGTTTTTTGGGGTTTTTTGGGTCCAGTTGTGGGGCCTGCACTCTGGGCCTGGGTGTTGTCCCTCAGCTCTTCAGCTCAAGGCTAGCACTCCACCACTTGAGCCACAGCGCCACTTCCAGCTTTTTTTTTTTTTCCTGCTTATGTGGTACTGAGGAATCAAACCCAGGGCCTCATGCATATAAGGCAAGCGCTCTACCACTGAGCCACCTTCCCAGGCCAGGGCTGGTGGTTTTGCTGACCAGAATCAAAGCAGCCAGCCCCTACCCCAGGGTCACGACTCCTGGTCATCCCCTCACCTCTGGTCCCACATACCTGGTTGCGGCCAAGCTCCCGAGCCACCTTTGCATTGTGGTCACAGAGCTCAGCCAGCGGCCGGCCGGCAAGAGCATAACGCTCGGCCGTGTCCACAAACCAGCTCATGCTGCCACCACCAGGCTCCGTCTCGAAGACGCTGAGGGCGCTGGAGGCAAGGCCTGAAAAGGGCTCAGCGGAGTCCAGCTTGCGCTTGAAGAAGATGGTGTGGCGCCGGTCACCAGCACAGGGCTTGCGTCCCGATTCGGCAGCCACCAGGCTCTCCTTGGCAGCAAAGGCCAGGTCCCCAAAGAGGCCATAGCAGAGGCCCTCGGGGTTAGCGCGCTCAACAGGCTGGCTGGCATCACGGAACAGGTGTTGGCACAGTGTGCTGTCCTTGGAGCCGGAGAGCAGAAAGGAAGGGTCATGCGGGTGGCGCCAGACAATGCCCGTGGTGACGTCTCGATGCTCCTCAAACATAGCAGCAGGCACGAAGGGCCGGCGCACGTCCCACACATAGATGTTGTGGTCCACCATCATGGAGCACGTAGCAAGGTGGTGCCGGCATTCCGGCCGCCACTTGACACGGGCCACCGAGGCGATGGTCTGCACACAGTGCATCTCCTTGGCACGGTGAGTGGTCATGTCCCAGACTTTCACCATCTTGTCACGCCCACCTGTGGCCAGCCAGCCCCTGCAGGAAAGCCCCACCAGCCCTCGGTGACCTTCCCTGAGGAAGAGGAGACCCCAGCCCTGACCTCGGCGACCTCCCTCCCCTGGGGACCCTGCGCTCCCCGGCTTCAGGGTCTCGGCTCAGTCTCGCCCACGCCCCCACACCACACCTGTCCTCAGGGTGCCAGTCGCAGCAGAAGACCGGCCCATTGTGGGCCGTGAACATCCTCTCACAGCGGTCAGGACGGCGGATGTCCCAGAGCTGCACATTGCCATTCTCAAAGGTGGAGGCAAAGGTAAAGTAATCGCGGATACTGAACTGCACATCCCGCACGCTCTCAGACTGGCCTGTGGGCAGGGCAGGAACAGAGACAGGTGAGGGGGGCTGGCCCACTGGGGCTGGGGAGCCCTGGGAGTGACTACAGGATCACACACCAGCCTGTGGCCAGGCCCGGGGGGGGGGGGGTCTGTCTAGGATGAGTGACACTTGGGCGTCACAGGGGGCGGCTTTTCCCCACACTTCCAGCTCTCAGCCCTCCCGGGGTGCTGCTCTTCCTGCATCAGCCTCGGGCATAGCTGTGGTCCAGCTCAGGAGAAATGGGTCGGTCGCTGTAGGAGTAGTGCACCTGGCTGTCTGGCTCAAGCTCCCCTGGCAGCTGAGGCTTGCCAGAGACCTCCAGGTAGCCAGGACACAGCAGCCCAGCCCTGGGCTAGAGCTGCCTGGCCAGCCCCTAAAGACTGCAGGGCTCCAAGACCAGGCCCACCTTAGAGAACCACAACAGGTACAGAGCAGTGTCCAGACTTTTCCTGACACAGGCAGGCCAGCCTCACGTCCTGAAACTCTCCAAGGCCCCAGGACTCTGCTTTATGTTTCACGGAGTCTCACCAAGGTGGCTCAGGACTGTCTACTAGAAGCTGGGCCTTCTAGGAAAGGGGCCCCCGGGGGACCTAGACAATGTATCCAACCCTCTGACGTCCCTGGACCGAGAGCCGGGGAGGGGCAGGTGGTGGGCTTTATCCTCCAGGGAAGGGGCACCACTCGGCTGGGCTGGGCTGAGGCTGAGGAGGCCACCCGGTCTCAGGGCCTGCGTCCACCCTCTGGGGCCCCGGCCACGCCCGTGGGCCTCACCGGAGAACGTGCTGACGGAATCCTTCCGGCGGAGGTCGAAGCATTTCATAAAGCCGTCCTGGGAGCCGCTGAGCAGCACGTGGGCCTCGGTGGGGTGGAAGCAGACCTTGTTCACCGTGCGCTTGTGCTCCGTGAACAGCTGGTCCTGCTTGTTTCGAGACGGCCGGCCCAGGTTCCAGGTGACCACCACGCCGTTGGTGGCCGCCGTGGCCAGCAAGTTCTCGTCCATCTGGTGCCAGACCACGTCCGCGCAGCTCAGGTTCAGCGAGGGCTTGCGGCCCACGCGGAGGTTCAGCTTCTCCACGAACTGCTCCTCCTCGATGGCGTAGATCTTGAAGATGCTGCGGCCCGCCACCGCCACCTGGGCCGCGTCGCGGCAGACGCTGACGGCGTTGGCCGGCGCGTCCAGGTGGCAGTGCATGGTGCGGCCGGTCAGC